TGGTCAAGAGTCTCACATTTTTTTTTTTTTTGCACATTTGTGTTATTGTCACTATTATTGAATTTGGTGGCCTCTTTACATGTTCTGGATACAAGTTTTTTGCCAAGTGCTTTTTGTTTCTCAGTGCTGGGGATTGAACCTAGGGCCTCACACATGCTAGGCATATGCTCTACCACTGAGCCACACCCCCAGCCCTTATTTATTTATTTGAGACAGGGTCTCAGTCAGCTGCCCAGGCTGGCCTTGAACTTGCAGTCCTGCCTTAGCCTCTCAAGTAGCTGGATTACAGCTGTGTGTCACACCCTGAGCTTGCTTTAGCATTTTATGTTGAAGCATGGCTCTGTGTGTCTGGAGGATTTATTCCTGCCTTGCAAACTGTCTTTGCTGTGTAAGGAATGAGGGCTCTGGCTCCTACTCCTCTGTGCTTCTGGAGCCTGAACCCTGTTTCTGGTGAGAACTGTTTACTGTCTCTGTTCCTCAGTATAAAATGCATCATTTAATCTGTACCTCCAAAGTGTCTCTCATGCTTTTCTGAGCAGTCTTCATCTTCCTCTTGCTCACCCTGATGATGTGAGAGTCACAGTCATGCTCAGCACACGTAGTTCCATTGTCTGTGTCCCTTCTGGGCTGCTCGTTTGCATCCTGGTCATTTTTGACTGGGATGGCAGTGCTGAGTATTAATTATGCACCCACCACTGGGACAAAATCTCTGACACCTGCAGCCAGAGGAGGAGAGCTTTATGGCAGCTCCAAGGCAGAAGCAGTGCAGTGGAAGGGGCTGGCGGAGCAAGGCTGCTCACCTCATGGCAGCCAGGAAGCTGAGAGGAAAGTTCAGAGCTGAGGAGCCAGGCCCCACTCCTCACAGCACTGTCAGCCCAGAGCTCATCACAGTGGGTCTCCGAGAGCACAGCCCTGTGATCCAGTGCCTCCACACACACGAGGTTGTGGGGGTCCCACAGAGGGCTGGGCAGTCCTGCACTCCTGTGACTATCCCGGGCTGTGTCTGCGACAGTGAGCTCCTTGCAGATGGTTCAGTCTCCTTAGGTCTTGCTTTGAAGCTGTTTGGTGGGGCAAGCACCTGGCCGCTTCTGGGGTCAGCCTTTCTCACTGCTGAGGTGACACCCCCGTCCTGTCCCTGGGGCCATGCATCTCAGGTGACAGCCTCCTCCATGGGTGCTCTCACGGTGCGGCTGTGCTCCTGCTTTGTGGAGCCCTGGGCCATGCAGCTCTGCTCGAACACAGCGGAATTCCTGCCACAGCTTTGGTGTCCGCCGAATGTCTTGGAATGTGCCAAGACTGACTCCATAGGCAGGCAGATGGTCTGGCAGGTCAGTCAGTGGCTTCCTGTGCCCGCGTGGCCAGCAAGGCTGTCAGCACCTGAGCTGTTCACAGTCCTGTGTGGTCTCACGTCCCCACCCGACACACAGACTACTGAACTCTGCTGACATTTCCGCCTGTTTGCTGGTTCCTGGCTCCTTTACTCCTGTTGCTTTACTGAATGTGTGCTGGCCTCTGCCTTCTTCAAGGTGCCTGTGTCTTCCTGGGAACGCACCGTGCCCACCTTGGGGCTTCTGTCCTGGATGCTGGCAGCCTCCTGTTTACAGCACACTTAGCAGGTCACTTCCCTGCGCTTACGTCTGGTGTGATACGTGCATCCCCCTCTCCCTCTGGTCAGTGCACAGCCAGGTGTCTTGGGTTTTATTCAGTCCAGCAATTATCATTACAGCGAATGTGCTTCATCGAACGGTTGATGGGCTTACCCTTTTGCTGCTGTTTGTGTGACCTGCCATCTGCTCCTTTCTTCTGTTGTGTGACTTGAGAGAGGTACAACAGCAAACGTCTGTCTCGGCAGAGAAGATGCCAACAGCCCCAGGACGCCTGCGACAGGTTCAGCCTGGCTGTGAATGTGTTCACGGGGGACTTAGGGAGCAGTGGACAGCAGCACAAAGGCGCTGCCCTGCGCTGGGCTGTTAGCACTGACTAGAAAAGCAACAGCAGGGTGGAGAGAGGGACGGGGCCCTCGGGAAAAGCCCCATCCGTCCTTAGCAGCTCCGCAGGTCTCAGCCAGCACTGTCAGCTGCGGTGCGGGTGACCTGTTCCGCAGCTGGCCCAGCGCCTGGCGAGGCCCCTGGACAGGGGGACAGTGGCCAGCACAAGTGGAGTCACCGTGGCCTGGCTTGCAGGATGGATCTCCCGGTGTCTTCTCCTTGCCAGCGCGGCTCTGATAAAATTAACATTTAAACCGATTATAGCTTTTTGGCTTTGTTTCCCTGTAGCACTTACATTTTTAACTTACAGTAGTCCACCTCTGAGACACAGCCAGACATCTTGTCCCAGCCATGGAAAGATGACCAGCCCGACTGGCTTCAGGCGCGTGTGACCATCCGGGGCTGCACAGACACTCACTCTGTTCGTTCTCCCCATGCGGTGCTGGGGCCCCACATCGGCACCCACCCAGGTCCTGTTCCTCCGGTGTCCCTCTCCCCTCGGGGTGACGCAGTGGTGGGCGTCAGCCCTCTTCCCAGCACCTGACTGCCTGACGGAACCTTCTCCGGCAGCACGGAGGGAGACACGGGCGGGTCCCAGCATGGACGTGGCCACTGACTGGGCCGGGAGGCAGTCAGCGAGTCCCAGGCTTCAGGAGCAGGCACTGTGCTCAGCCTCCACCCTCCCAAGAGCTCCATGCACACTGGAGCTGGGACGGCCACACTGCCCCTTGCCACCCAGTGGGCAGGTCTCCCGCCTATGACACTTGCTCCAGACTGGACCCATCCCCATGTTTGCCAGAGCCCTGTGTCCTGACTAGCAGCCAGGCCATGGCTGTGACCTCTGCCCATGCTGCAGACCCTGCCGCTGGGCAGCAGTGCACACTGGACCCTGTGTGGCCAGGCTCCCTGCTGCCCATGCAGCTGGCCCCGAGGACAGGGGCTCTGCCCTGAGGTTGGGCTGCTGTGCTATGGACATGACCGCCACGGCACCACCCTATATTCTGTGCCAGGCTGTCCTGTGACCCCCCCATGAGGAGTGGGCAGCGACACACATCACTTCTGTGACCAAGGTCCAGGATCTGCGGTGTGGGGCCGCCTCTTCCTGAGCACCAGACCTGCCAGCCATGAGTGAGCTACAGTGAGTGGGTCTGCTGCAGCGGTCGGTGGAGGACAGTGACCCTGGGTCCCAGCAGCTTCTGTTCCTCAGGATGAGCCCATCGTGGCTCTGCTTCTTCCCTCTGCAGCTGAGCTCTCCACCGGCGGCCTCAGCTCACTGCAGACGGACATCCCAGGGGCCTCTGCTACAGCGCCTGTGCCTGGCCACCTCTGCTCCCAAACTAACAGACAAGGAAAGTGCTACTGGATCTGTCACTTGGCCTGGCCAGCAGTCTTCTGGGTGCTTCTTGAGGGATAAAGGCAGTGGGAAAGATTCTGGTACTGTGGAGAGTGAATCTCCTCACTCCTGACCTTCCTGGCTCTGGTGGGGTCCAGCCTGGCTGGGTGTGTGCACACACACGAGCAGCACATTGGTGGGCTAACCGGGCACTCACCTTCCAGGTCTCGGCACCTTTTACAGGAACACTTGGTGGTGGGGGGACCTGTTAGTTTGGGTGGGAAGTGTCCTCCTCAAGTCTCTGGTGTTCAGGGGCGGGGCTTTGGGAAGGCAACTGACTGTGGGGTGCTGGACTCACCGGGCTCATCCACCACTGAGCTCATGTTAGGAGGCGGGGCCTAGCGGAGGATACCATCCCTGGGGTGACTTGGAAGGGCTTCCTTTGCTTGACCCCAGCCCTGTCCTCTGCTTCCTGGCCACCATAAACCAGGCGGTTTTCCTCTGCTGTGGTTTCTTCCTTGGAGCCAACTGTGGCCTGCGCTCTCTGAAGCTGTGAGCACAAATACATCTGTTGTTTATCTTAGGCACTGAGTCACATGGATGAGTGGCTCAGTTTCGCCATGAGAATGCTCAGATGGGCTCGTGGCTGTGGCAGAATAACCAACACCACCTGTTGAAGGGCTAAGGCTCTGGGAGGGTTCGGGTGTCTGTACCCTACCTTCTCGTGGGAAGGGGGAGAGCCAGGACCCTGTGTAGTCGCCCCTCAGCCTCGTTACTGGGCAGGGTCTGGCTTCTGCTGAGGAGAGCTTGGTGGGGCAGGGTGGCGGAACACTGGTTGGTCACCTGCATGGCCTGTACCTCTGGCTACCAGGTAGCATGAGGCTCCACCTTTGAACCTTCTTTATTTCAAAACCCAAACATCTGATCCATTCCGAGGGCCAAGTTCACTTCCTCCTTCACAGACGGACTGGCAGCTGCTGCCTGCTTCTTTTCCTACAGTCTGAAGTTCACCTGATCCCAGAAGCCAGGCTGTGACCCCCAGTGTTTCGGAGGGTCTGTGGGGCCATTCCTCAGCTCTTTGACCCTTAAGTTCTTGGCTGGCTGCGAAAGACTGGAAGCAAAGTCCCTGTGCTCTCCACCAGTCAGTGTGTGGCCATGGCCTCGTGTGTGGGAGAGAAACCAGACATGGATGCCCGGGACAGAGGCCACGCCTGCTTTCTAAAGCCACCCTTGCTGCCAGGGAAGCAGCTGCCACAGACCAGGGAGGCCTGAGAGCTCTCATGGGTTTCCTACCAGCCCGAGTCACCTGCTGTCTCCCCAGTAAAGACACACAGCCTCACTCTGGGGTCTGCGCCATCATGCCGTTTATTCTGCTGGGAGGCCGGCTCTCCGCAGACCCCGCCTCCCCTATGTACATTCTCAGCCTAAGCAGAGGGGAAGGATCTGGAGGCACAAACATCCGTTCAGTCTGCGTCTCGGGGCTTTCTGGGTGGAAATGCACAACGGCACTTCAATAAACGCCCTTCATCTGCAGCCAGCGGGGGTGCCTGGGCCTCCCGCAGAACATCTTAGTTTACTGACCTCCTTCATGGGTCGCCTGCAGGCGTTCCTGTTTTAAAAATAATCAATGTGGGCATAGTGGCACACGCCTGTAATCCCAGAGCTCAGGAGGCTGAGGCAGGAGGATCGCTGGAAGTTCAAGGCCAGCCTGGGCTACACAGCGAGACCCTGTCTCAAAAAAATTAATCCTTCTGTGTGCTAGTTATAGAACCAGTACTGTCTACCTTCAGGGCACCCAGCATGCCAATCGCCCTGCTGATGTGACGTTGTCCCGCTGGTGACTGGGCTTGGTTTCCCAAGGCCCCCAGTGGAGAGACGCGGGCTGCGGGTCCATGGGAGTGGCACCCCCACGCCCATGCCCTGGCAGTCACTTGCTATGGCGAGGAGGCCCCAGTGTGTATCATTTCATCTTGGGAGTAAAAAACAAAATCCTCAGCAAGTTGGAGCTCTCTCAGGAAGGAAACCCCACCTGAGGGCGCCACTGTGCTTTGCAGGGCGGCTGTGACCAAGTTACCAGGAAGCGCAGAAAGGAGAGGTGGGACCGCAGCGGGCGTGTCCGAGCTGGTGGGACGGCGCACGGCAGGTGGCGCTCGTGGGGACACCAGGGCCCGCTGCCCGCTCCTGCCCAACGTGTCCGGCTGAGCCTGCACTACAGTGAAGCCTCCCAGAGCCTTGGTCTCTGAAACAGAGACACCAGACTGGAAGTTATAAGAAAGAAGGTTCAAAAGGGTGGAGACCAGAAGGCGGCCAGGTCAGGAGGGGAGGAATCCACCTGCAGGGGGGCACTGGCTGGAAGCGGGTGGCAAAGCCCCCACCGCCTTGGAGTCTATCAAAAGAGGGCCAATAAATAAATAACCTCTGAGCCCAACAGGAAAAACGAAGTAGAAAAACAATTTCTTTTTTAAAAAAATGCTGAATGTCTTCTGAAGTACCTAAATGAAGTTATAAAATACTTGTGAGCTCCCTCGAAAATATAGAAATGTTTAAAAAGCAGACATCGGCGCCTCTGCCATACCCCGGGACAGGCCACGCTGACACAGCACGGTGACCACAGCCAGTGCGGACGGGCAGAAAGGGATGGTGGTGGGGAGTGACAGAACTGCCCCAGGACCCCAGTAAGGCCAAGGTGCGTCCAACCCTCCCGGCTCTGCCACTCAAGACCCCTCGGAGAAACCGCACAGGCCCAGCCCCTGGACTCGGCCCGAGGACCCCTGCGTGGCGGGCAGAGGCCATGGGGGACAGGCCTGCAGTTGGAGGCCGGGTGCGGAAGAGGTCCCGGCCTTGGGTCCATGAGCCCTATTCCAGCTTCCTATGGCGAGGCTGCATCCCCAAGTCCGAGCTCTCGGGGCTGAAGTCGGTACAGAAACCATTGGGCATCGGTGTGACTGGCGTCTGGGTGCCGCCATGGAGGGGCTCCCAGTCAGGGTACAGGTACTCCTCGGCAAAGTCCGGGTTCAACTCTGCGAAGCTCTCGAAGTCAGCTGCAAGGACACAGGCACCAGTTGCTGGCACTCGAGGAGCCAAGGCCCAGGCGTGGGGTGCTCTCCCGAGTCTGGGCAGTGCCCCTGTTCCCTGGCAGGGAGAACCTGCTGCACACCAAGTCACGGTGACCGTCGAGGGCATGCTGCCTGACAACACCGTCCCACCCACCTGCGAGGCACTGGGGAGCAGCAGCGCCGGCCCAGCAGGATGGGAGGAGGCACTGCCCACTGCAGGCTGGGGACCTGGCAGAGACACAGTGCCGCCCTCAGAGCTGGGTGCTGCCCACATGGCAGACAAGGGCACTGGGCTCCCGTGAATAGCACTGCTGAGAGGGTGACTTGGATGTGGATGCCAGGGTGCCGAGAAAACACAGGCGCAACCTGTCGGCACTGACTGACATCTCTAGGCACGTGCACAGGGGTGGCGCCCAGTGGGCTCAGTGGGCCACGGCCACTGCCAGCCATCCATACCACGCCTGCACCAGCAAGTGTCCATGGAATTAGTGACAAAAGGGGGTGCTGTCTGCGAGATCCTGCTGTGTCCCCCCAGCCCCGAGATCCTTGCTGACAGCTCTGGCGGCCTGCAGGTGAAGACAGCTCCTGAGGTCTGGCTCTGCCTGTCCCCTTCATCCCTGATGGCAGCTGCTGCCTCTCACGGACCTGCTCACCCTCCAGACAGCAGGCAGTGTTTTAAACATGGACCCAGCCATGCTTGGAGCCACCCAGGGCCGGTGCTGTGGACACAACCCCATTACAGATCCCACTGGAGCCACCAGAGGGTCTCCTGGGGACAGCACTACCCGGCTGGGGCACGGGGACCCCCAGCTGCCGTGCTGTGCCCTCACTTCCTGACACACGTGCAGGCCAGGACAGAGACCAGGGCCAGGCCCGGGGGCTGGGCTCTGAGACCGGGGAGGGGACCCCACAGGCACAGGCAGGCAGGGCAGGTGGACATCCACCCCACAGGGGACTCTGCCTTGCCCTGGGTCCTGTGGCCCCTCCTTGGCCCTGGCTCCACTCACCAAACGTGATTCTCCCCTTCTCCTTGTCGTCGATGGCCTGGAACAGGCCAGTGACAGGGAGCTCTGCCACGCCCAGGGCGCTCCTGAGGATGCGGGAGAGGTGGTCCTCGTCAATGCTCCCATCCCCGGGTGTCCCGTACATCTGCAAGGCACAGTGGTCACCCCGGCTGCTCCCCACTGCCTGGGCCCTGGGAGCCCCGGCTGGGACAAGGACACCGATGACAGGGACTGTGACAGGTACGACACATGGGGGTGGAGGCAGGCACAGCTGCGGGAAACAAGAGCCAGGCCAGGTGACACTCCGCCCTGTCTACCCAGGGCAGCCTGAGGGCAGCTGACACGGGCCGCCGGCACCACCTGGAGGCCATGGGGAGAACTGCAGCGCCTCACTGTGCTGTGCTGTGAACCAGGAAGCAGTAGCCTGGGCCACAGCAGTCCAAGCCACCTCCTGAGCTGTGGAGGGCACAGGGCGCTTCTGCCCGGAGGGCTGTGGGAGGTACGGTGTCCCGGGAGGGCCAGGCCGCACACACAGAGCTCTCCCACACCAGCTGTGCTGTGACGCCCACCCTGGCCCTGCTTGCCTTGAATGCCAGCCGGATGGTATCCAGGGTCCGGGACGGCCGGCACACGACCGACAGGGCGATCACGTACTCCCGCAGGTCCATCTCGCCGCAGCCCTGTGGAGACAGCTCTGCTTGGCATCGTGGCATCTCAGCAGAGCCTGGCTGGTGGGAGCGGCCTCACAAGGGCCTGGAGAAGCTGGCGCCCGCACAGGCCCTGTGCATGAGGTGGGAGCCTGAAGGTGACTTCAAAGTCATCTTCTCCTTTTGTTTTTTGTTTGGTTTGAGACAGGGTCTTGCTATGTAGTCCAGGACTGTCTTGAACTCATGTTGCAGCCCAGGCTGGCCTGAAGATCCAGAGATCCTCCTGCTTCAGCCTTCACAGTGCTGGAATTATGGGTGTGCACTACCACACCCAGCTAAAACTCACATTTCTACGCAAACCAGAGCACTGGGGACCCTAGGAAGAGAGTGGGTGTGGGCAAGGGTCCCCTCTACTTTCAGAGCTGTCTCACACATTTGTACACAGAGAACCTTTTGCACTGGGCACCAGGCGCTCGCCCTGCCCGCCAAGCCCACCTCCTCGAACAGTGCAAACATGTCCTCCAGCGCTGCAGAGACCGGCACCTGCAGGCACGCCGCGAACTCCCCCAGGCCGACTTTCTCACCCCTCCGCATCTTCGCATTTTCTGAGTATTTGTCCAGATCCTTTTCAAGTTTTTCAGGCCTCAGCCTAAGCAAAAGCCAGAAGATTCCAATAAAACCACAGAGGCTGAAACAGGAGACTCACCATCCAGGGCAGCAGCGGCATGTGGCGCCTATCTTGCAGTCTAACAGTCCCGGGTCCCAAGCTGTAGACACCTGGGGAGGTGAACCCACATGCAGGCAGCCATGCCCAGCACCAGGGGTTTTAAGGCCCTTCTGCAGGGCCTGAAGTTGATATTTGAAAAACGAAAACAACATCGGTGATGCATGCCTGCCGTTCCAGCCCCATGAGCGGCTGAGGCAGGACTGAGTGTGAGGCCAGCCTGTGTGACCCAGGGAGACCTTGTCTCAGAATAAAACTCAAGGGCTGAGAAACAGCACGTGGTGGAGCGCATGCGTGGGACCCCCAGCCCCCCAAAGAGGCACCATATGCACAGTATGCATCGTGGCCTCAGCGTGGGCCCTGGGTCTAGGGCAGGGGTGGAAGAACTCACCCGAGGCTCCGCACCAGCCTGGCAAACTCCAACAGGCAGGAGTCGGTGGGAAGGCGTAGCTGTCCCCCTGCCAGTGCAAGCTGGCAGTCCTCAAATGTATAGTCGGTCACTGAAACGCCCAGGGCCCTGTGAGAGAGTCACTGTGTGCAGTAACGGAACTGCCAGGGCTGGGGACCCAGGGAGCCACTGTGATGTCTGCTGGGGTCCAGGAATGGGATCATGGGTGTCAAGGCTGCCAGGGCACCTGCCCCCACAGCGGCTCCCGGGCTCTGAGCCAGCAGTGACCACGGCTTCCATGCAGAGACCCAGCCTGGACAGCTTGGACACTATCGGCTCTGGGAGAAGCAAGCCTAGAAAGGCCTGCTCCCATCCTCAGCTCCAGGGACAAGAGAAACCACTCAGGGGCCCGAGGCTAGGGCTGCCCTCCCCTGCCCACCTGCAAGGCTGGGGCCTGGGGTGAAGCCCACTGTTCCTCAGCACACACGGTGCGACTCCCAGCCACCCAGCAGAAGTGTGGGCTGCACCCCCCAGCCCCCCCCCCACCAGTTTCCCTTGCCGGGCACAGGCTGGGAGCCTGCAGGTATGGACTGGGAGGCCACGTTGATGCCCCCAGGTCTGGGGATACCATGGCCCCCTCTAACTGAGCTCGGTCCCCTGATCTGTGTGTCCAGGAGAGCAACAGGAGAAGGTGTTGAGGAAGGGGCAGGCACAAGAGGATCAGAAGGACAGAGACCTTCAGAGCTCAGGAGAGGTACCCACATGTGGCCAACAGAAACCCTGCCAGGGCGCTGAGTCCCAGTCTCCGGAGACAGCAGTGGTTCAAGTCCCTGCTCGGTACCAGATGGGCGGGCTCCCTGTAGCCCTGAGCCACACTCGGGCTCTGCCTGGGTCCCACGTCCTTGCACCACACACATGGCTGTCACCCGCGTCCCGTGCAGATCCCACAGCGTGGGGCCACCTGGACACCCAGCGCCTCTGGCCACGCGAGTAGAACTCGCCCCTTCCTCTGCTCATGAGAACACATCTTGCAGGGCCCGCGACCCGGCTGCACCAGGCGTGGTGGCTCCTCGGCTCTGGAACATGCCACTTGGAGCAAGATTCCGGTCTTCGAGCAAACAACAGGTTGGAGCACCACCAGTCAGGTCGGGTGTCGGGCCCGCGCCAGTGTGCTGGAGTAGCCCCTGCACTTCCGGGGGACCTGTCCTTCCGCCCGTCGCGCCCGGGAGCCGCGCACACTCACTTGGCCATGACGCGCCGCACGTTGCTGGCGTAGAGCGCAGGGTTGATCCTCTCCTCGGCGGAAGGGCTGTACACGGGAAGGAACTGACACAGGGCTGCGGTCACTCCACTGTGCGACACCCACCAGCCAGACCAGGCAGGACCCTAGCACGGGGTGCCCACCTCAGGCGTCCGGCTGGGTCCTCCAGGGGCCCAGGCCGCAGCCCCCCAGCACCTACCGCAGCATCAAAACGACTTTCAAAAGGGTAAACTTCAAAATTTGGGGAAAGTAATTTTACTTTTCGTCCACCCGTTACTATGGTTTGTACGTTTTCTTAGGGTGGTGGCAGCACAGCATTTCGTTTTGTGCGTTTGTGAGCAGCAGCTCTTCAGGCCTGGGCCCCACCCAGGGGTCGGTAGGGAGGAGCCCAGCCCCGCCCCACCCCCGGGCTCCGCCCACTTTCCCGGCCAGCCCTGGGCCATTCTCCTCCACTGCACAGCACACTGGGAGGAGGAAACTAGGGCTCTCCTCGCTATTCATCCAGGACGGCTGTGTTTTTATTTTTCACATACACTTCAGAATCGGTGTGATAATTTCTAAACAATTTTTGTATGATTTTGACTGGAGCTGTATTTAAAAATTGTTATTTTAACAATGTTCCTTCTTTCACTAAGTAAAAATTATGTATTACCCTATTTACCAGGATCTTTTAACATTTATCTTGGCAGTGTTTTATGATTTTCAGTGTATAAGTTTTAGATATATGTTAGGTTTATCCTTAAATATTTGAATATAAAATTTTTTATTATTTTATTATACATCTGTTCTGAACTTCAATTTCGGATTATGCATTTGCTAGCATATAGAATACAATAATTGCTTTGCCTGTTGCTTTGGTATACGATCACGCTTAAAATCTGAGTAGGGTTATTATTATTCTTTTATACATTCAATGATATTTCAGATTTATCCCCAATTACTTTGCTCGCCTTTCCTTGTGCATCAGAAAATTTCCATGTAGGATCTTTATTGTTGAAGTACAGTTTTTAATAAAAATCTATTGTGATAAACTTAATACTTATTTGGCCCAAAAAACTAGTCTCTACGAATTATTTAATAAGTTTGTAATGATCTTAAAGTGGATGTGAAATTCAGGAACCTTTTTCTTTTTAAAAAAACTTTGTAGCGATATATCTCATACATTAAATTGTACAAAGTAGTTAAGTGCAATTTGAAGGGCAGTAGAAAACGGAATCATAAAACTATTATCTGCAAAAAGGACTGAAATATCGCCAGCACCTTAAACCGGGACAGCGACTCTGTGATGCACGTGGGAGCCCACTCAGACCTCAACGATGGCACCTGCGCTGCCCCAGCTGGTCTCCTTTCTGGGGCGTCACCAACACAGGGATACCTGGGGTCGCCACTCCGTGTCCCTCACGTGTGCCCCGCACCTGTGTGAGCCATGGCGCTGGGGTATTCTGTAAGGCCACCGGGCCTCTTTTCTCATAGAACAAGAGGTCAGGTCTGAATCAGAGCTGCTGGTGTGGGGTGGGGGGCGCGATCATCCGGCCAGAGCGCAGGCTCCGGTTCACCCAGGCTGAGTCGGGCTGTCTAAAACCCGAGCCACACATCAGCATCTGCCCTGAAGGCCCATCCTGCCCTCCATACCTCTGTCTGTGCAACCTGGGCCCACCTGTGCCTGCCTTGTTCCACAGTGTTGGGAGGGGAAAAGGATTCCGCTGAGGTCCTAAGGTATACCCCACTCATGCTTGACTTCAGACGCATGTGCTACCTGCTCCCTTTCCAACAGGCCACGCCTCAGGCTCTGTGATGCATGACCGAGTGGAGGGTGGACGTCAGCACCGAGACCCCAGATGAGACTGGGAGGCAGGTGGGTGAATACAACAGCAGTATTCATGTGCGGTAAAAATAAAAGCCAAAATGTTTATTGCCTATGTGGAAATTTTATACTCTCTTAGGCTACAGCAACCAAGAAAAAAGACAGATTTAGCTTCCTTGGTTGCTAGGATCCTGCCCAAATGGTTTACGAGCAAGCATGAGACAGGGAGGCGCTGACACGAGGGTCAGGAGCCGCTCGAGGGCCCGTGGAATGGAGACCGGCACAGGCTGCTCGGCACCGGGCACACACAGCCTGCACACACTGCACCCCCCGAAGCCCTGGGACACCCATCTACGCACCTCGATCTCCACCCGATTGTGGAACTGGCACAGCGTGAGCCACAGGATCTCCAACCTAGGAACACAGAGCAGACGGGTCATCGGCCAGGAGTGAGGTCCCAAGCCCCTCAGGGTGGCACGGTCTCTGAGCTCCGAGCCACAGCAGGGCCCAGGCCACGGGACTCTTCACCCAGCAGCCTGCACTCGGCCGTCTCTGGTCTGTCCAGTGAGCTGTCCTCTCCCACATCACTCTCCAGCCAGGACACTTTGTCCCCGGCATACCCACCCCACAAAGGGAGCACCGGCCTTTGGCCGCTCACACCCCAGCCCAAGCTGGGCTCCCATGGCCCCCCGACCGAGAGCTGGTCTTGGCCCCAGTAGGCAGCTGGCAGGTCCAGGCCTGGACTGACGCATACCTGCCAGGCTGACACTGACTGTCACCCCAAAGCACCTTGTGGCACTGGGCGTCCCCACCCTAAGCCAGTCAACTCAGCGTGGCCATCCCTGTCCCTTGAGTGGCACTCACGGCCCAAGAGAGCCCCGAAGTCTGTCTGCAGGCCACAGAAGCTGGCCAGGCCTCCCTTCCGACACCAGGGCCACCGGCCGCACAGTGGCCGCATAATCAGAGAACCTCAGCACTTCCACTGGGCCGAGATGGGGAAGCCTAGTCCCCAGTGTGGGGGCTGGAACTGGCCACATGCATGCCTGTTAACAGCACACAGGGTTGCCGAGTGGCCCTAGTGCTCACACACAGGGCTACAGGATGGGGTATGACTTACGCTCCGGGCCCTTGCCACGTCCACGTGATGGTGTCCTGGGGGACAGACGGGGCAGGGTCACCACATGCAGCTGCCCTGCTCCCAGCCCCTCTTCTGTGCCCATCTGGGGTAGAGCTGGATGCTTGTACTCCTCGCCAGGCCTGAGGATCTGGGCCTCTCAGCCCTGAGGTCCCAATCCAATGCCCGCGGCACACTGTCCCCAGGTCCTGTCCCGGAGCCTGCAGGGTCAGCGCCCCTCTGGGGAGCTCAGGAGCACCTGTTCCACCCCTATGAGGCTGCCTCCGGGCTCACTCCTCTGAGCTGGGGTGCCCTACGGTCTCCCTAGAGTGCTGGGCCCCACTGTCCTTCTTTTGCTTTGTTTTCTCAAAGGAAACCTCCACCCTGGACAGAGGCCCAGGAAGGGCTGCTAGCTACAAAGCCCCTTGTTTGGACTCCGCAGCTCCAGGCACTGGAATTGGGACATAGAGTGTGAACCAGGCACCTTGAACCCAAGACTCGGGACTGGCCACATGGGAGGAGAGGACAGGGCACATGTGAGCCCATGACCTGCCTCTCTGGCTATGCTGTGCTGTCCACTTCCATCAGTGGACAAAGGACACAGCAAGCTGGGGGCACCGAGCACCACAACCCACGCAGTCCGTGCCCATGCCAGTCCCGGAAGCCCAACTCACCAGCCTATTTGGGTATCGCAGCACCACAGGCTGCACCGGGACTCCGGGGATGAATGCACCTGGTGGGGAAGGTGCTGTCTCAGGACACGGGGCAGCGTGCACAGGTGTCTGCACCGAGTCCCTGGCTCAGCCCTTCCTGGTGATACAGGACTGGTTTCCAGGAACACAACCTCAAACACCCAGATAGGCCAGGTGTCTCCACAGAAGCAAGCAGAGGGGCCGGCACCTGTGGGGTCCCCATTGGGATCAGGGTCTCCCCCAGTGCCCTGGGGCTGGGGACACAAGACATGCATCACAATGGGGCAGGACCACCAGCCCAGGCTGCTCTCTGCCGGGCAGCTGCGTTGGAGGCTCCTCCTGGGCCGGGACGCTGTCCCCATCCTCTCCACCTTCCAGGCCAGCTACGCACTGTGCCCTCGCGGGTGATGAGACCCGGCCTGCTCGTCACAGTCACAGCTCTCTTCAGATCTTGTTTTTCGGAAGGAGTGCAGGTGTCAGGAGTGCCAGATGTGGCGGCACAGGGGATATCACAGGAGGAAGGGCCACTGTGCCCAAACCGAGGCAGCATCTCGTCCCCAGGCGTCTGCAGGGCACCTGCAGGGCCAGTGCTACTCTGGAGTGAGGGGAGCTTGCGGAGCCACTGCTCAGCTGGCCTGGAAGACCCTGGCCCCGGACCACCGGGGAGGGTGGGGCCTGTGCTGGTGTCCAGGCTTGCAGGGGCATCTGTCACTGAGGCCACCTCTGTCCAGCACCAGGGCTTCGTGTGATGGCCTGGCTGGGTTCTGCCTTGCATGCGGGGCTTCCTCTGCAGCCAACAATGCAGGCTCTGCCTTCCTACCCACCCTGCAGCAGGCAGGGACACCTGGGAACACACACACCAGGCATTCTATGTGTCCAAGTGGAGAGGCCCTTATGCCAGGGACGTGGCAGAGCCCAGAGCCCCGGACATGCATGCCGGTGAGAACACCCCTACCCCACAGGTCTGGTGGGGACCCCCATGAAGCACCATGTCCGCCTTGGGCGACCACGGAGTCCACTGCCCCAGTGATGTCAGCAAGGCTCAGTGTAACGGGAGAAATCTCAGCCACAAAGTCCTCACATGCAGCCTGGGTCTCGTGCAACACGTGACGTGATCACGCCAGCTGCATGCTAGCAGTGGGACGTGGACAGCGGCAGGTTCTGGCTGGCGCAGGCAGTGGCAAGGGTGTCCTCTGAGGGAGGGACCCGCCTGCAGTGCTCAGCAACTCCTCCCAGACTCCAGGACACTGAGAACGGAGGTTGCAGGGTCTTCAGCGATGCTCACGCTGGCGTGTGTCCACGGTGACAACTGCGCAGGTATAGAGCATGTCTTGGATGTCACAGCAGTCTCTCCCGGCCCAAGGGACTGAACCTTCACAGAAATTCCGCCTAAGGCTGGCAGGCACCTTGGGTGTGCTGGCCTGGGGCTCCTCAGGGTCCCTACGGCAGGAGCACGTGGACCCTGGGGTGCTGACCACCCACTGGGCAGGGACAACTTGCCACACTACTTGTGCCTGGCGGTCACCACTTATCCTGAGTGCCCACCTCTCAGGCGCACCGTGCATGACTACCCTGGTGTCAGGTGCTGGGTGCTGATCCCTCTTCATTTGTCAATTCTTTCTTGTGTGGCACATGTGGGCAAGCAGCTCCGATGAGCAATGCCAGGGACTATCCCCCAGGAGACACCAATCAGGCAGGACGTTTCCATGTCCAGGGAGAAGACAGGCTGCAACCCATCCTCTGGCACATGTCCTTCAGGAAGGGAGCCAGCCCCGCCCAGCAGGCTGTTCTCTGCTTGTGGCCCTGGGGAAATGGCCAGTACAGGCCAACACAGGCAGGAAACAGTCCCAGGGAAACCGGCCTGACTCGCAGGCTATGCCCGGGTGAGGGGTCCAGAGAGTTGGCAGAGTCGGCCTCACAGCCCAAGAAGCCCACCCCACCCTGCCCCTGTGGCAGTTGGGCAGGAGGGCAGGGGTGAGGTGGGGCACAGGGCTCTGCAAAGCGTGAAGGCGGGGAGTGGTGCAGGGCCAGCACGTGTGAGGGACAAGGCGGCGGGGGGGTTGCCCACAAGTCCCAGCCCAGGCAGCAGTCAGGGCGCTGCATCTGCCCACCCCACAGCAATGCTGCAGAGAGGGTGTGGGACCCAGTGCCAGGCTCCTGTGTATTCGGGGTCCCCCCGCTCTTGGGGTCTGCACCCTGTACATGGGAAACGCTGGATGGACAGGGCCCATCCTGCCAGGCCTCATGTACACGAGGGTCTCACTTTGAGCCTCTCCCCCTCATCAGCAGTGCGTGCAAGGCAACTTTGGCCTCCACAAATGCCACAGCCCTCCACAAGAGACCGACTTTTCCTAGAGATCCCCGAGATGCCCAGCATACAAAGGAAAGCAGAAAGGTCTCTCTCCTGCCAGGTGAGCCACACCACCCTAGAGGGCTGGGCCAGTGCAGGCCCCTAGCCCCCAACCCTTCAGCACTTCTCTCCTCCTGAGGGGAAACAGAAGATGAAGAAAATTACATACCTGGCTTGAAGGTAATCAGGCAGGTCCTGTTGGTACAAGTTCCTTCTGGGAAAATCATTATCTTCAAACAAGAAGACAGAGTCAGCATCAAATGCCCACATGCTGATGTGGTCCTGACCCTGACTAGACCTCCACTCCCAGGCGCCTCCAGTGGAAAATCGGGGTGCGCCATGGGCATGCGCACAGACCACTCTAGCTACAGGTCCACCGAGGTGGGGGGTAGCAGAAGCAACATCTCTCCCTCCCACTGCCACGCACACACGTGGTCTTTCTACCGCATGCCTGGAATCAGGTTTGTCGGGTGCGCACCTCTCAGGCACACGGGGAAGAGCACGAGACCAACCCTGAGCCACTGTCAGTGCAGCACATGCCTGCAGGAGGCAGCCACCCCAGTCACGGGGACAAGTGCAGGGGACAGAGGTGCAGTAGCACAGCTGGGCCAGGGGGACCCCAGAGCCAGCGGCGAGGAGACAGTGTGCAGGCGCCCTCAGAGGCATGAACTGAGTCTGCTTCCCTGCAGGCAGGAAGTGCAGCCCCCAGGTGTCTCAGTCCGGTGCCTCGGCATCCCAGGATTCGGGGCCCACGGAAGAGGCACCTGTGGGTCTGAGGAAGTCACTGCCCCCAAGGGGTCATGGGACCAGCAGCCTGCCAACAAAATCTCTGCTTCTAACATGGGCTCCAGACCCAGAGCACGCAGCACACACAGTGGGGTCATGCACAGCCCTGTCACTTGCGGCTACCACAGGACTCAGATTTGGGACTGTTCCCAGGAGGGCAGACCAACAGCCTGATTTATAAAACCAATGGTTCAACAACTCTGACCCTCCAAGAATTGTTTCCTTGTATCTTTCAATTGCGTATCCCAAACCAAAGCTTGGGAGACACGGCACATTCGTGGGTCTGCATACTCGAACCAAAGACAACGGCACAAACTGCAGTGCCACCCCAGAGAAAGAGGCCCAGCTTCCGCCACTCTCAGTCCACACTGCTTAGAGACCGCAGGCACACACAGGGCAGGGTTACCTGCGGCCACTTTCCACCCGACTGTGCCCGGCTCCTGATTTCCTCCACGGTTTTCCTGCGAGAATCCTGGTCGGACCGGGACACGAACACTGGCCGTATGTACCGTATCAGGGCTGTACAGGGTGGAGACAGTGTTGGCCCATGGCACCCTGACGCAGCAGGCCTGGGGCGGGGCCTGGGGAGACCTGTGGCCCCAGAGACTCTGGGCCGCACCGGGCTGACAGTGAGGAGTCAGGAAAACCCGACCTTCCAGGAAATCCCCAGGCAGGAGCCCTGTGTTCCTGGAAGGCAGCAAGCCACCTTGTCAGGGAAGGGAGCAGAAGGTGCGCACTCGCAGGGCTGAGCCCCAGGGCCAGCGTGGAGGGCAGACATGGCCCCCGGGCAGTAGGCGGCTATGCTCACCCGCCTGGTGTCAGGGACCAGCCCCTCGCATTCCCTACAGGCAGGCTGAGTTCTGAAGCCTGGGACCCCTGCGTGGGACCTCGTCTGGAAATGGCGCTTGCAGGCAGTCAGGTCACGCTGAGGCCATGCTGGGTGGCCGACAGTGGCCCTGACCCAGTGACTGGGGTGCCTCCATGGTGTGGCAGAGTCGGGAGCGAAGCCTCAAGGGCAGATCGGGCAGGCAGCTCACACAGGAGCACATGTGGTACCCACAGAGGCCCAGGGCAGGGGGAGATGAAAGACACTGTCCCTGCCCACACTGGCTGCTCCTTCCTGGCACAGGGGTCCAGCACCACCCTGGGGGCTGGGGCCCAGCTCGGCCCTGCCATCCCCCGAGAGGTGAACCGCACAGACCCTGCATCCCCACCCGGAACCCTCTGCACGGGGATCCCATGGAGGACCTGGAAGCGGCTTGAGACCCCAGACCCTGCCAGGACCCTGGAGCCTCCCGAGGTCTCCAACAGCCCCCACGCACTCGGGGTTTCCCCTCCCTGCCCCTGGGTCCCTCACCCACTCCCAGGGGTCGCCCCGGCCTCTACTTTCTCATGGGTCCCCACCCAATCCCGGGGCTCACTCACTTCCCCAAATTGGGATGTCCCTGCTTTCCGCCTTCATCACAACAGAGGACATGGTCATGGTGACAGGAATGGCGTCAAAGTAGGACGAGTGTGGTGCCAGAGTGAGGATGGCAGCCTCACTGGGCAGTGCCTGCCGCCCCTTCACGGCCACTCGGTGGAAGCCGCCCGCGAACCACATGGCGCGCATGATGGCCTTGAGCAGGACACCCACGAGCCTGCAGGACAGCACGGGTCAGGTCAGGTCAGGCACCGGCGGGGAGGGCAGGGGGCTCATGCACCCACCCTGGCGGTGGAGGGACACATCCATGCGTGACTGGACACCAGCCGGGTGCAGAGCCGACAGTCCAGCTACCCATGTGCAGGTGGGGACACCACTAAGCCACTGAGCACGGGCTCTGAGCCCCGAGGCTGGGCCTCAGAGCACCAGGCGTGCTGCTTCTGGGAGAAGGGGGAGGGCGGACAACAGTGCAGACAGAGCGCTGGCTGCCTGTGCCTCAGGAGATGCGTGAGGACGCGGGGTCCTTCCCATCTCTCTGCTTGCCAAGCTCCAGCTCAGTCTCTCAGCCATCAGGAAGCCACGTGTGCGCCTGGCCCACGAGGACATGAGCCGCAGGAGAGCCAGGACCCACTGGCCTTGGCAAGAGGGCAGCCAGCATGGGGCAAATCGCTTCGCAGCAAAGTAGAAGCCTAAGAGGGGGCTGATTTCCCAGGGGCCTGAAGCCCTGTGGAGCTGCACCAAGGCCAATCAAGAGGGTACAGAGCCCTGGGGGTCCCGACAGGACCTGTGCCAGTGGCAGGATAAACAGTCACTGTGGTTACGACCTACGCACTCCTGAACTTCAGCTGAACACTCCCCAGTGCGCTTTTCTGCACGCTGGCTTCGCAATGCAACACATACAAAAATAAAAGCCAAGAGGCAACAAATGCCACCCACGAGCAGGAGCCGGGGCCTGGGCAGGCCAGAGGCGGAAACCCGGAGCAGCTGCATCCCTGCAAATCTGTAGGTGCATCCGGCAGGAGGAGCGGCCAGGTAGAAGGGCCCTGGGGCCCAGACAGCCAGTGGCCAGCGCTGGAGAGCCGAGGCCACCAAGCGCACGACTCTGCAAGAGCAAGAGCATGGCCCTCAGTGCTTACGGATGCACAGCCCGGCAAAGGCAGTGGCTGTTGGGGCACCTGTCTTGCACACATAGGAGCGCTCTGCAGCGGACACGGTGGCGAAGACCGTGGTGGCCACTTACCACCTGCGGAAGCCAGTGGGTCATTCTGGAGCCACCGTGTTGGCACAGTGCCCAGAACACGGCTGCCAGCGCCTCAGAGTCCTGGAAGGGTCGGGGAGCACCCTCAGCATGGGAGCTGGAGTTGGGGAAGATGGTGCTGGGAAGGTGGCAGGGTCGAGGCTGGGGCCCCTCCAACAACTGCTACTGAGAACCGGAACCCTGAATCTTTCCCCAAGCTGCAACCTGCATTTGGAGCTCCACCCCCAGCACTGCTCAGCTCTGGTTTGGCCTGGCTATATCTCATGCCAAATTCCTGTTTCATGGTTATAAGCTTGTCAACAGGACCTCAAGGTTAAACACCTCTTCAAAGAGAATTCAGAAAGCCCAGGAAGGCAGAAGGAAGCAGTGATGACTCCACCCACCCCTGGTGACGGCACCAGCACTGACACAGGCTGGGGTTTGAGTCCTCTGCACATGGCCTGTCTCTAGCTCAGGGCTGTGGCGGACCTGGGGTCCCTGCCCCACCACCCTCCCACTCCTCTGCGGGTCTGACCAGGACTGTGGTCCCAGGGCCTGGAGTAGATGCAGAGCAGTGGCGCTCCAGGGAAGGCCGAGCTGGACACGCCTGAAGAGACTGCTCGGCTCCAGGGCTACGTGGCCCCCCACGGCCACTCAACTGATAGCGCAGGTGCAGCTGTGCTCCAGCAAAGCTTTATTTACCAAGGCCGGGGCAGGCAGGTGTGGTGTAGCTGTGTGCCAGCACCTCTGCAGCCACTAATGTGTCTCCTTTAGCAAAAGGTGTCCAGCTCCACGACTGTTTGGCAGTGCCCGCACACAGCTTGTGAGGCGTATAGGGTGCCTGCCACTTACATGTGGTGTCAGGATCTCGGAAACCAGGCAACACGGCACGTGGCTCAGGTCTCAGTGGTGCTGTGTGAGCTCAACTGCGTGGTTCAGGACCTGGTACAGGACCAGCGTCGGCACCCAGCGCTAGAGGCTAGGGGGTCGGGAGCTGGGCGTGACAGGTGTCACCACAGAGAGGGGAGCTGGGCAGGGGTCTCACACGGGCTCACTGACCCTGGACCAGAGACGTGGTGACCCTCACCTCAGCCACTTTAATACCCGGCTTGGCCAGGCTGCCAGGTGCCAGCTGCCCCAACGTTGCTGCCACCCAAACCCTGCCCTCAGATGGGAACAGGGGTCTCCTGGGCATGAGGCCCATGTCACCGAGCTGCTCCACTCCAACAGCGTGGCTACTCAAAGTCCAGGGTCCAGGGGCTGGGCAGCCAGGAAGCTGTGACCAGTCTGCAGCCACGAGAGGCCGCAGCAGGGGGACCTATTTCCTGAGCCTCAGGGCAGGTCGGGGACAGGAAGAGCTGGTGGGCTCCAGAGGAATCTGCAGGAGGCTGGCAGGGACCCCTGGAGCACAGGCAGGGCTCTTGCTGGGCAACAGCAATCTCTACCTGCCCTGCAGTCCCTGCACATGAGGTCTCCAGGGCCACTCACCTCCGCCACAGCGCTGGGGGCTGCTCAGGCTCCTTCTCAGCAGGACCCAGTGAGGCCACGAGCGCCAAGGGCCAGGCCAGCAGCATCATGAAGGCGGCGAACAGAAGCCGGATGGGGAACAGTGTCAGTGTCATGAAGGCCACCTGGGGGCACAGCGATACCATCTGGAGCCTGCCCCCAGGACGTGGGCCTGCTGGAGCCCAGCCCCATGCAGCCTGCCCCCATGGCCCCCACACCCTACCTCCTGGCACCAGCACCAAGTATGCTAGGGACAGCGTGGTGGAGCTGTCCTTGCACGAGAAGCCACAGAAGTCTTCTCAAAGACCACACCCTCTGGTCCCTCCTGTACCTGGAGCCTCCCTCCTGTCTGTGAGGCTGCAGGGAGAGGCCTCAGGAGCTGCAGGGACAGGTGCCTGACCTTGCAGCCACCCATGCAGCGCCAGGGACCTGATTCCCCTTCCTATGTGACACACTTCCAGGTGGGACCTGATGGGGTGACCTGGACCTGGGCTCTGTGGCCAGGCGATCCCGGTCGGGGAGAGCATGGAAAGAGCCCAGATGGCTGGCACAGGGACAGGAGTCGGGGCCACTGCTGTGATAGCCAGGGTCACCACACATCCAGGGCACATGTGTACTCCCATACTGACACATAAACACACGTGTGTTGCCCTACTACCACCCCAGAGGAGCCAGGAAATCGACTACCACTCTCCCGGGGACATGGCCTGGCCCATGTGGACACACTCCGGTTCTCCAGAGAAGACCACACAGTAGCTCACAGAACACACATAAATGCAAAGGAACTAAAATTATTAAAAACAAAGAAAATTTTCCCTACATATTATCAGGCCATAGTGCAATGAAATTGGAAATCAAAGGCAAAAGAAACCTCAAGGACTTCATAAACACATGGAAATTAAATAACACCCTTCTGAACAGCCAATGGGTCATGCATGAAATTAAAGAAGAAATTAGACAGCTTCGAAATTAAATACTAATGCCAACACAATATACCAAAACTTACGGGATGGAAGGAAAGCAGTCCTACCAGGGAAATGTATAGCAGTGAATTCCCACATCAGAAAAACAGTGAGCTCAAGTAAACCCAATGATGACCCTCAAGCTTCTAGAAAAAGAGAAAGCTGAACTCACAATTCATACAAGAGAGGAAATTATAAAGATCAGAGTAAAAATTTTATATTATTTTATTTTATTTGGTACCAGGAATCAAACTCAGGACCTTGAGCTTGTGAGGCAGGTGGCAGAACCACTGTGCTAAATCCCTGGCCCCAGAGTAAAAGCTCATGCAATTTAGACTAAAAAAATATAAAGAATAAATTAAAGAATTGGATTTTAAGTCGTTTTTTTTCGGGGGGATACTAGGGATTGAACTTGGGTCCTTGCGTTTGCAAGGCAGGCCACCGAACCGCTGAACTAAATTCCCGGCCCTTAAATCGTTTTTTTGATAGATTAAATAAAATTGACAAAACCTTAGCCAAACTTACCAAAAAGACTCATGCAATTAGGAATTCAAGGGTGAAATCACAACGGAACCTATAGAAATCCAGAAGATCATCATCATTACCTACTTCGAGAACCTGTATTCTACTAAGACGGTAAACAGAAGAAATGGACAGATTGCTGATACATATGAACTACCAAAGCGGAACCAAGATGATATAAAAGTTCTAAATAACCCAGTATCAGTCAATGAAATTAAAAACATAACTAAAAACCTTCCTATAGGACTGAGGGTGTGTCTGGAAGCACAAGGTCCTGAGCTCAATCCCTGGTACTGGGGGAACAAACCCCAAATCCTACCTACAAAGAAGAGCCCAGGTCCTGACAGACTCACTGCTGAATTCTGTAAGAACTTTAGAGAATATCTAATGCCACTACTCCTCAAACTTTGTAATTAAACTGAAAAGGATGCAATACTCCCAACTGATTCCTGGAAGCAAGTATTACCCTGATGCCCAAACCACAGAAGGATCCAGTCAAAAAGAAAACTTCAAGCCAATCTCAATGAACACAGATGCGAAAATTTTCAACAAGATACTGGCAAACAGACTGCAGCAAATCACCAAGAAGATTATATACCATAACCAAGCAGGATTCATCCCAGGGATGCAGGGATGGTTCAACATACTCAACTCAATAAATTTAATATACCATATTAACGGAGCCAAGGGAAAATAAACCACATGATCCTCTCTATAGATAAAGAAAAAGCATTTGACAAAGTCCAACACCCATTCACGATAAAAACCCTACAGAAAATTGGGATAGATGGTCTTTATCTCAATCTGATGAAAGACACCTATCTATAACAAACCAATAGCCAACATCACACTAATTGGACAAAAACTGAAAACTTCACTCTAAAATCAGGAACAAGACAAGGATGCCCATTATTACCACTCTTATTCAATATCGTCCTGGAAACATTAGCCAGAGCAATTAGACAAGACAAAGAAATAAAAGGAATAAGGCTGGGGATTTAGCTCAGTGGTTCTGTCCCCTGCCTTGCAAGCACAAGGACCGGAGTCTGAACCCTAGTAAAAAAAAATTTAAAAATACAATAAAATAAAAGGAATAAGGATAGGAAAGGAACACGTTAAATTATCATTATTTGCAGATGACATGATATTCTACATAAAAGACCCCCAAAACTCCACCAAATCACTTCTAGATTTAATACCCAAATTCAGTAGCATAGCTGATACAAAGTCAACACTCAAAAATCAATAGCCTTCCTGTATACAAATAACAAACTCACTGAGAGAAAAATTAGGGAAATAACTACTTTCATAAAAGCATCCAAAAGATAAAATACCTATGAAACAATCTAACACAGGAAGTAAAAGACCTTTACATTGAAAACTACAGGAAATGAAACTGGATACTGAAGAGGATATCAGAAAATGGAAAGATATCCCTTGTTCTTGTATAGGAAAAATTGTAATAGTACATAAGATCATAATGATATAATTGACAATGTGAAATAGGAAGAAAAGGGCTAAAGGTGTAGGGAAAGTGGGAAGGGTAGGGGTAAGGTAATAGGGGACAAGAAAAGATTATGAGAAAATGAAAAAATGGAAATAAGTGTTTGTAAATGGGGAAGGGAGGACGGGGTAAAGGGAGGGCCGGGACAAGGGCAAAAAATGAGAACCAAGACCTGTCATGTAAAGGTACAAGATCCCAATAATGAATGTAACTGTACTGTATACCTAAAATGTGCCAATAAACTCAATAAAAAAAAGAGGAAGAACCAATATAGTGAAAATGGCCATACTTCAAAAATTGTTTTTCAGACAATGCAATCCTGCTAAAAATGCCAATAGCATACCTCACAGAATTAGAGAAAACAATCCTAAAATTCATTTGGAACCAGAAGAGATCTAGAATCGCAAAAGCAACTCTGGGCAACAAAGGCAAGGCACGGGCATCACAATCCCTGGCTTTAAACTATACTACAGAGCCACTGTACCCTCAGTGGGGTAAGCACCTGCCTCGTAAGTGCCAGGTGTTGAGTTTGCTTCCTGGTACCAAAACCAAAAACAAACAACAACAACAACAAAACTGAGGGTACTATGATAAAAACAGCATGGTACTGGAATAAAAACAGACTCAAGGATCAATGGAACAGATTAGAAGATTTAGAAACAACTCCAACATACTCAGCTACTTCATCTTTGACAAAGGGGCCAAACACCTTCACTTGAAGAAAAGTAGTCTCTTTAATAAATGGTGCTGGAAAAACTCGCTTTCCACATGTCAAAGATTAAAACTAGATCCATATCTCTCACCATGCACTAAACTAAAATCAAAATGGATTGAAGTTCTAAATATTAAAACAGAAACAACCTGTTGGAAGAGAGAATAGGTACAACTCTTGAAGACAGGGTGCAGGCAAAGACTTTATGAACAAAACCCCAATCTCACAGGAAATATCACAAAGAACCAACAATTATAATCACATCATATTAAAAAGCTTTTGTACAGCAAGAGAAGAGACCACCCACAGAATTGGAAAAAAATTTTACCAGATACTCCTCAAAGGACTAATATCTAGAATATATAGAGAACTCAAAAAACAGACCCCCAAATCTAAGGACCAAATCCAAAAATGGGCCTCTGAAATGAATAGACACTTCTTAGATGAAGTACAATCAGCAAATAAATATATTAAAACATGTTCAATGTCACTAGTCTTTCAAGAGATGCAGATGAAAGCAACACTGAGATTCCACCTCACTCCAGAGAGAATAGCTATTATCAAGAAATCAACCAATAGCAAATGCTTTTGGGGCTGTGGGAGAAAGGAACCCTTCACCACTGTTGCTGGGAGTATGGACTGGTGCAACCACTGTGGAAATCAGTGCAGAAATCCTGAAAAAACTAAAACTAGAGTTTCCATTTGACCCAGCTACTTTTCTTTTTGGTTTCTTCCTGGAAGGATTAAAAGCATTCTACCACAGCAATATAAGCACACCCATGTTTATAGTGGCGCAGTTTTTAACAACTAAATCCTGGAAACAACCCAAATGCCCATCAGCAGATGAATGGATAAAGATGTGGGGGTTTTATACAATGGAGTACTACTCTGTCATAAAAGATATACTTGAGACATTTCTAGGAAATGGATGCTCCTTGAGACCACACTCATAAGTGAAATTAATCCGGCACACTTGTTTAAATACCACGTAGTTTCTCTGGTGTGAGAAACTGAAGGGGTAAATAAGGACCAAAATACATAACAGATATTGGGAAGTAGGAAGAAAATGGCCAGATGGGGAGGAGAACTGGGGGGGGGTAGAGGGAAGGGAAGAGAGACTAGAAGGAAAAAACAGAAACAAAGCTTTTGTAAATAATGAGAAGAGCTGAGTGTGGTGGCACCACCTGTAACCCCAGCACTCGGATCGCTGTGAGTTTGAGAACAGCCTGGGCTACACAGTGAGTTCCAGGTCAGTCTCACCTATATAGGGAGACCTTGTCTCAAAAAAGCCAAGCAGGTATGGGGTGGGGGTGGCCAGCATGCCTACCGGAGTTCCGTGGTCCCCAAGGGCCCCTGTGTCCTACCCTCCCTCCTGGCACAAGCACACTTGTGCGGTTCCCACGTTGCCCGGGCTGTGGCCATCGGTTACGGCCTGACCAGGTG